TGTGAAGCCTTGTGTACCTGGATATACTGTCCTTGTGTTCTGCTGTTACCATAGAGACCGAGTCATTCTGATAAGAGAGGGAAAGGTTTTGTCTTTCATGCAAACAGAGACTGGCAGGGAGAGATCTCGAAATGATATGATTGTGTTCTTGGCCTGAGAGTCTTTTAAATGAGGTTATCTGGTTTAGAGGCCACTGGGGCAAAACTTTGACCCCCTCCTGATGGCAGGTCACAAACCCCACACTTGTTATGGGTTTTTCATCAGTAAGGCACTGAAGACCACCAGCAGATGGAAAGCTCAGTCATAACTCTTAGTGCATGTTGAGCAGAGTTGCTAGTTCAATCCAGTGTCCTGCTGACCATGTGGGTTTTGTTCCAGGAATGGACTGCAGTGGGACTGTGCAGAGCTGAGTGTCCACACTGCATAGACAGAGACTAATCAAACACTCGATTTTACTGTTCCTTCCAGCATATGTCTTCGAAAAAGACAACTGTTTAATTTCATAATTAAATAAAAGGACTGGAATGTCCAGTATTTTACCGCCCCTGATATACAGTAGGTGAAACAATCTGCTTCAATTCGGACTCCACAGAGTATTAATCCAGTCAACCAGTGGCGCTAATGGTTCCAATGCAAATTTTGTTGATCATAATTAACTAAGTCTATTTACTTTAGTACATGTGTAGTTAAGTTCTGCCTGATGCCTCCTACCTGGGCCTTGCTGAGAAATGCTAAAGCAATTATAAGAGGGCTGTGACAGAGGTGAGTTGGCAACAGAGTGTAATAACCGTTAGGTTTTCATCTTGATTCCAAAAAGCACCCTAGCAGATCGCGTTCCACTGTTTTCATAATTAAAAATTAAAACTGTATTGAAAGAAGGCTGCTGGGAAATCATACAATTGACTTGGCCTGAAAAACGTATATTTGGCTATATAACACAAAAAAGATAAATATGGAATAAACATAGGAAGAATGTATTCTTTAATAATCACACTTAAGCCTCAAGATAATTCATTTTACTTTATTTAATCTTTTTGTACAGTTTTTTAGCTACTCTCTCTTGTGTTTCTCTACTGAAGTGTAGATCCTAGAGATGTTTTGTGCAGATGAGGAAAATCTTCATTTTCTCAGCCTTCTAATATATGGAATTCACAAATGTGCCCAGGAGCTTTTTTTAATGTGTACTAAAGGCAAACATTTGCCTTTTCCTCCAATCATAGTGCCTTAATTGCAAGGAAAGGGCACATGTAGCGATTTTCTTCTCTGTATCTCAGACTTCACACATGTACTGCAGAAATAATACCATCTGAATCAATAGTAAGGCGGGTAGGGGCCTCCAATTATTTCAGACTGCGCTTCACCTAATGTTCACACATCAATCCCAGCCTTTGTCCAGCTGTCAGATTTACTTTCCTGCTGTCGAAAGCAAAGTTCATGTCAGAAGTACACTTAAGATGACAACAACAAAAAAAAAAAACACAAAACAAGAGAGCTCCCGCAGTTCTGGTGAAAAAGAAAGTCTGACAGCACTTTGGAAGGTCTGTTCCAAAATAAATGCAACAAAAAATAAAGGTCAGAGAGAATACTGCTACACCGTAAAACTTTCAGTGCAGCTCGCTGAGGTCTGTAATGGACTATAAAATGAAAGGGAGCTTCTGGTGTTTTTTTGAAAGAGCAGGTTGTTATATAATTGCCTGCATGAAGCTTAACTTCTCTTCTCTTTCCCGTCTGCACTGCAGTACCTCACAGCTGTGATGGAAGAGGGGGGGATTGAGACTTCTCCTGCGTCCTTTGTTGATGTTTAATCCAAAATATGATACAGTAGATATGTAAAACTGCTACTGGATTAACGCTGCAGCAGACAATTGCTAAAACAATTATATGGAATTTTGAAGATGGAACTGAAAATGGCTTTCACACAGGTCTGTCTAATTGTGTCTAATTGCTAAAGGGCTCTAATTGGTGTTCGATATTTCATTCCCGCAAGCATTTTGATGGGATTCTATTGTGTTAATTTGCATAACTGAAATATGGGTATAAAAGGGCAAATAAATTACGGTCTGGTTTTGAATAAGGTTACACACTGAGCTTCTGATTGTTGTGGTTCCCATTCCTTGCTGCTAGCTTAAAATATTGCATCATGGACAACTTAATCTTCATCTTCATCTTCATCCATGTCCCTGGTTGTTTCCCCACAGCCAATCAATCTAGAAACTTGGTTATGTGCAAAATGGCCCCCACTCACTGCATGCACATACTCTACACCCCCTCTGGATTATTTTCCAATGGGACACTCTGGACTGTAGGAATAAATATCTGATGGTCTCTGCAGCAAGTTGTGTGAGTGTCAGTTTTCTGACATTTTTTGTTTCAATTGCGCTCATATTTATGAGAAATAAATGAAAAAATTGAATTCAAATTTAATCTTTCTTCTACAGCTACTGTACAAAAGCTGTTCCCTAGTCGAAAAATGGCAAATTTGTAGAATTTCTTTTCACGATAAATACACAGGAATTAACCAGATGCTGTCCTGGACAGAATTAAAGACTGTTTGAATCCTACATTTTCTGACCCATTAGACCCATAAGGCTGAACGATCTGTTCTCATTGTTGGTCATTCATATACTTTAATTTGTCTGAGTTAATGGGGCTTAAAAATCTTGAATATGACTTGAAGAACAAAAATACCAGAGCGTACTGTCCCACATTGTTTCTGTTGTTTTTCAAATTGTAGTGAATTTTGTTTCAACCCTCCTTGAAGAAGGATTTTTGCAGACATTTTGAATCACCAGTTATATTTCATTTATCCATTGTGGAGTTGGTCAATTGTGTCTTTGTCTCCAGGTGTACAGAAACAACCTGTGTACTAACACAGGTAGTAGGAGAAGTGTTGAAAAGCCAGATGACTACAACAAGCATCCTCACTCCTGGTAATACAGATCCATAGGGATTTCAGCTGTAGATTGAGACTAAATTCAAATTGAAACTTTTGACATCATTTGAGAAATTACAACTGAGGAGCAAAATATTGGTGCTGTGGTGGCACGGTAGTCAACCTTCCTGTCTTAGAACTTGGGATGTAATTAGTGTTGGGGCCCTGGGTTCAGTTCCTAGGCTACCCTCTGTGTGGAGTTTATATCTTCTTCCTGTGTTCTCCTGCGTTTC